TTGCCTCGTGTTTTCTTGTATTCAAGTGGTGCATTAGAGGATCTGGAAGTCCTGACCCCTACCCTCCTCATAATACCTTCTATATAAAGTCAGATCACAGAGCTTATCCATCAAGAATTCTGATCATTGCTGCACCAGGAATGCCCAAATCAGTTTCTGAGAGAGGCTGGAAATCAATTGCCCTCTTGAACTAAAACCTATTGATCAGACAAAAAAAAAACAAACACTCATCGATCCTAGAACAATTAAGCTTTCTAGAGAGATTAACACTGCAGCCCATGTAAAACCTATCTTTTAAAGGAGATAGGTTGATTATCAGTAATTAAATCATGAAATAAAGCTCCTGCAATATCCCCACATTTAGTGTGACTGACTCACACAGAGCAGTGTGGTTTCAGGTTTGTACTTAGTCAGTTAGTCTGAGCTGAGGCAGTGGTGGAGGCTCTGACCGCACTTCAGTGCGGTTGGGTGAGGAGGGAGAGTGGAGAGTGGAGAGAAAAATTAGGCCGATTCCAAGTTCAGGTGTTTATTGAACATTAGACAAGGGAATTGAAGGGCACCATGAAACAGCCATGATATTACTGAATGGTAAAGCAGGCTTGAAGGGCTGAATGACCTCCTTCTGCTCCTAGTTTATATGTATGTTTCTATATTGGCAGTGCAGATGTGTTGAGCTCGAGTGTCAAGGCTCACATGGGCAGAATAGGGGAGAAATACAGGTCAAAAATCAGCAGGTCCACGACAAAATGTGAATCATGCTGCTCACTTCATTTGACAGCTCGTGTTATTTGTGATACGCAGATTTAACATTCCGCTGTTCCATGGCAAATCCAAGCAGCCGCATAACGATCAGAACTGTTTTCTGCATTGTGAGCACAGAATCCGGTTTCCCAACAACTATGTGTCATTTACAGTCTGTTCCACTTGCTCCTCTCCAACTTTTTTTCTAAAGTATAAAACCCATCCCTTTCTAGCTGTCTTCAGATCTGAAGGAGAATCATTTTAGATTCAAATCATTAACTTTTTACTGTCTCCACAGGTGCTTCCATCCTTGCTGTTGTGTTTCTCTAGTTCTCTCATTTTATTTATGTATCGTCCTTATATTCTCCACACAAACAGGATAAGTTTGCTGGGGCCTCTATAAAACTTTAAACCGCTGTTTCGAGTCATTATTTGACCCACGCAAAAGCGTGCCTGTCAAAGGGGAATCAAGCACAATCTGTATAAACTGTGATCCGATATCACAATGAAGTCCCGAATCACTGTGGTATATTCTACACTGTGCAAGTATTTGAGGATGTGTGGAGGCACCTTTACACATTCAATGCCAACATGCATGGGCAGTGAGGTTGCAGGGCCTTTATTTTTAAAACACTTAACACTATTTGCTACATGTCACAAGGGCTCAATGGCTAAACTCAGACTGCTTTTGGTGGCATCAATGAAAACTGATTTCCTCCTTCCAGGGCTGGCCCCTATAAGCTCATGGCACTTCTAAAATTTAAAGGACCAAGGTAGGGGAATATAAAGGAATGTCCTTGTTAGGTTATTGGGGAGAATCTTTTCATTTTGCTGATGCTCCTAAAAGCTACATCATAGCACTAACATCAGTGCAGTGACATACCTATGAATTCAAATCTGCTGCAGCTCTTACACAAAGGCAAAATACTGCAGATGCTGTGCATCAGAAACAGACACAAAGTTTTGGGAAACCCTGGCAGCATCTACGTAGAGCCGTATTGGACTTGAAACATTCGCTTGGCTTTTTCATCCAGCGCTTAGGCTTTAGCCAGTTTTGTGTCAGTCTGGTGGAGATTAATGTATGAAGGTTGATTCACAGTGGTGTCTGCTGTCACCACTTGGTTTTGCATGTGATCCCCATTTGCAGAATGACTTGATCTTCGGTTTTTCTAAGCGGTTGCCTTTCAGTTACTCACATTACATTCACCAGTTGCCTTTTTGCCGCCGTACACCCTAATTATGAAGTCACTGCAGTAATCTAGCTCGAGCGCTGGTGGGATTCATTGTTCAGTACTGCCAACCTTCTCTCCCTGTCTCTTGCCCTGAAGGTGTGGAATATTGCCTAGGTACAGTGGTACATACACTTGTACTCCAGCATCTGGCCAATCCTGCAGCAAAAATGAAGGTCAGTAGGCTCGTCCACTTTTTTAGGCATTGCAGCATCCATCATCCATCTCGAGTCTCTCTTTCAGCAAGGATGACTTGAGGGGAATCTATCTCTTTGGGGAAAGAGAAGGGGAGTGGGGTTAGCTGGATGGATTGTAGAAAGTCAGCATAGACTCGATGGGTAAAATAGCCTCCTTCTGGAGGTGGAAGCATTCCATAATTCTATCATTGACACACAGTCTCAGCAAGGCTACTCTTCAACCTGCTGCCCTCTTCTCATCTTCACCATCTTCGCTCCTATCACCCATTACCATTCTTTGCCACGTGCACTCCAGCCTCATGTAGTACATAATTGATTGGTCGTAGGTTCACTTAGACCTATGCTGTTTCCACATTTTGGCATGCAACTCGTCTTGTGTCGCCACTTCACCAGGTTGACATCTAATTTTTAGGTATGACTTGGCAAGCTCTTCTACACTTGAACCAGAGTAGATCCTTGTTGATCATGACAGAGAAGAATATCTCAGGCCATGAGGTACAGACTGTGGTGGAGTTCAGCTCTGGTGCTGCTGTAGAACGACCGTGCCTCATGGGTGCTCAGTTTGAGCTGCTCAAGTCCATTTATCTCAGTAGGGATAATGGGTAGGTAACCAAATTGGTAGGATGTGACCATTGGCGTCTCAAAGGCGTGTTAGAGCCTCAATTATTCACGCTATTTATTAACAACTTGGATAACGGCATGGAAAATCATGTATCCAAATTTGCTGATGACACAAAGTTAGGTGGCACTGTAGACAGTGTAGATGATTATATAAATTAGGTGAGTGGGCAAAACTGTGGCAGATGGATATTAACGTAAGCAAGTGAGAGATAATCCATATTGGGAAAATATAGATCAGGATACTTTCCAGGTGTATGAAGTTAAGTACAGTGGAGGTCCAAGAGACTTGGGGTTTTAAGTGCATAGATTTTCCAAATGCCACAAACAGGCGCAGAGAATATTCAAGACAGCTAATGAAATGTTGTCTTTTCTCTCTCAAGAGGACTGGAGTGTAAGGATGCAGCAGTTACGCAAAACCCTGGTTAGACCCCATTTGGAGTACTAAGAGCAGATCTGGCACCACACCTTAGGAAGGATACGTTGGCTTTGGCGGGAACACAAATGTATGTTTACAAATTGATACCTGGACTACAGGAGTTAAGTTAATAGGAGAGATTACACCAAATACGCCTGCTTTCTCTAGAATTTGTAATGTTAAGGGGCAATCTGATCGAAGGCTTCAAGATAATAACAGAAAAAGACATGGTAGATAAAAATTAACTATTTTCATTGGTTGGAGATTCTAGTTTCAAAATAAGGGCCAGACCATTCAAGGGAAAGTGTTCAGAAGCACTTCTACACACAAAGGGTTGTACAGGCTTGGAGGTCTTCTGCAAATAGCAGCAGATACAGGATCAGTAGCTGATTTTAAATTTGAGACAGATACATTTTTGATTAGCAAAGGTATTAAGGGATATAAGCCAAAGGCAGGTATATCGAGTCAGGTCATGGGTCAGCTGTGATCTCATTCCATGGCAGAACAGGCTTGAGACGCTGAATGACCTACTCCTGTTCCTATGTTGTACGAGTTGCAAACTTCTTCTGGTTTTTCCAGTCTGAACAGTCCACGTTGCATAACTTATTAACATCAGTGCGAAAGGCTGAAGCATTTCTAACCATTGTCAGCCAGCAATGCAGAGTGGATAATCCATCTAACCCTCCTCCTAAGGCCTCTAACATCACAAATCCTCATGATATCAAGAAACAGCTGAAAGCACTGGATACTGTAAAGGATTTGGGAAGCTAACAGTATTCTGGAGTGCATTCTGGAAGCAGCAATGAAAATTAGTGCTTGAGCTGCACCCCCAAATCAAGGTGTTCTGGTACAGCTACAAAACTGGCATCTATCTGACAATGCGGAAAATTTCCCAGGACAAATCCAATGCGGCCAATTACCACCCTCAGTTGAGTCACAATATTAGCAACGTGACAAAGTTGTAATGACAGTGCGACAAAGCCACACTATTTCAGCAATATCCTGCTCATTGATGCTCAATTTGGGTTCCGCTAGGACCATTTAGCTCCTGGCCTCATAACAGCCTTCCCAAACATGGACAAAAGAGCCAAACTTCAGAGGGGAATTAGAGTAACTGCTCTTGATTTGACCAACTGCAACATCAAGGAGCCCTAGTAAAATTGATATCCTGGGAATAGGAGGAAGAACACTCTGGGATTGAAGTCATACCTGGAACAAAGGAAGGTGTTATGGCTGTTTAAGGCCATAGTACATCTGCAATCAAGCCCTCAATCATACTCCTGTTACCTCTAAACTTGATTATTCGAAAACACTTCTGCTCAGATTTGCATTTATCATGATCCATAAACTTAAGGTCCTCCATAACTCTGCTGCCTGGTTCTTAAGCTGAGTTTCTCTAGCATTTCCTACTTATATTTCAAGTTTTTAGCATCTGCAATAGTCTGCTTTTAAACCTCCAAGATATTTGTACTCATCCAATTATGGGCGTTTCGGAAATCCCTGATTCTGATCACTCAAATGGTGGCTGAGTAGTGAGTCTCCAAGCTTTAGAATTTGCAGTTTAAAATTGTCCATCTCTGTCTACCTCATGTTCCTATTTTAATATGCTCAAGACACCTGACCTAATATTGGCTCATACAACTTGATTTTTGTTGGACAACACCCCGAAAGCAACCTGAGACAGTTGATTAGGTTGGAAGTGTTAAAGTAAAGGCAACATAGGGCTTAGCACGCTAAATATGGAACTGCAGAGGGACTAAGTAAGAGGCTGTGTTGTATTTTACCCGTGGCTCTTACCTTCCTGGGAGTTTTGATATAAAGATGATATAACCACTTCAAGACGGCAATTCTTGTCATCATCCCTGTGACTGTGTCATGAAGATGCCGATCAAGCACCAGCACGATTCCATCTAAGTCAAGGGCTTCCTGAGAATGGTCTATCCTGCATAAGTAATAAGCAACTTTATCAATGGTTATTATTACAAAAGGTAAGAGGTGGGTAAAAGAAAAAAAAAAAATCAGCTGCAAACTATGAGGAGTTGTGCCATATCAAACAAAGACTACCTGACAGAAAGCATTACGATGAAAGAAAACTTTAACAAAACTCAGATGGAATGTTCTACTCAAATGGAGTGTGAAGTGATTCAGACTGCACCATACTGAGGAGGGTGATAGCACTGAACTAAATACCACTGCAAGATTACAAAGATGTAGCTGTTTCTGGCTGGAGATTAACAGTTTAAAAATTTCTTTCGCAAAACATGACCATTGCTGGCCAGGCTAGCATTTCTGACTCACCCTAACTGTCCTTGAGAAGGTGGTGGTGAGCTGCCTTCTTGAACGACTGCAGTCCTTGGGTAGCTCCACAATGCTGAGGGGAAGGGAATTTCAGGATTTTGATGTGGTGACAGTGAAGCAACAGCAATATAGTTCCCAGAACAGACACAGCGTGGTTGGACGCCATGTGCAGACGGTAGTATTCCTGTGGGTCTCTTCATTTTCACATACGGCTGGCGCTGCTTCTGGTATGCCCTCCTGTACTCTACATTGATCAGGGTAAATCCCCCAGCTTTATGGTAATAATAGAGCAGGGGATACACTGGGCCATAAGGTTACAGATTGTGGGTGAATATAATTTTGCTACCATTGATGACCCACAGCATCTCATGGCTGCTTAGATGTAAAGTGCCAGATCCATTTGAAATCTTAACATACAACATGATGGAGGGTACCTTCAATGCGAAGATGGAATTGTCTCCCTAAGAACCGTGAGGTGGTCACCCCTACTGATACTATCATGGACAGATGCACCTGTGGCAGGTACGTTGATGGGGATGCAGTCAAGTATGTTTTAATCTCTTGTTTCTTCTCTCACCACCTACTGCAGACTCAGTCCAGCAGCTAGATCCTTTAGGACACAGCCAGCCAGTCTTGGTGATTGATACTGAAGTCTGTCATCCAGAGTACATTTTGTCTCCTTGTGAACATTAGCGCATCTGCCAATAAGTGTTCAACATAGAGGAGCACTGATTTATCAAAGAATGTGGTAATCAGCAAGAGATTTCCTTGCACCCCTGATGCCATGAGACCTCACAGGGTATGGAGTCAATGTTGAGGACTCTCAGGACAAGTCTCTCCTGCCACTGTCTCCTCTGGTGCGTATTTTCTGCCCATCCAGCATGGTGGTGCCTGGGGCAAACTCGTGGAATCGTATCTTACAAAAAAAATTTTGTCCGCACCTAGGTCAACACTAGGTGATCCACCTAGTTTCATTCTTTGTTGACTTTTCTGTAGCAGTTTGATGCAACAGAGTGAGCCATTTCAAAGGCTGTAAAGAGTCAATCACCTTGTCGTGAGCGTGGAGTCACACTGGCATCGTGGGTGAGGGTGACAGATTTCCATGTTGAAGAGCATTAGTGAACCAGATTGGTTTTTATGACAACCTACGATATTTCTCAGTGGCATTATTGAGACCAGCTTCTAAATCCAGACTTTTTTTGTTAATTGAATTTTAATTCCACCAGTTGCCATGTCCCCATAGCATTAGCTTGTGCCTCTGGATTATTAGTCTAAGAAATGGCCATTATAATACCATCGTCTCCCCACGAATGCGAACAACGTAAACTATCTGTAGCCAGGATACCAGATCATGCTTTGACAGAACTTCAAACAGAAATTGGGATTAAAGTAAGATTAATGGTCAATTCAGCACCCAATTAATATTTCATCTCATTGGAACAATCTACTAAACAAAGAATTCTCTCCATTCAAAGAACATGAATTCAATTTGGATTAACTAATTTTCATCGGTTTGCCTTGGATAAAATTAACTTGGGCTGAGTCAGCAGTAAATGAGCTGCTCTGGTTATACACAAACTATTTAGACCTTTCCCCACACCCTCCCTTCAAGTAGTTTTCCTTGTCCTGTGAAATCAGTAGTAGCTTCCCTTCTCAATGACCCAAGTTTCAAAAACAGAGAAAAAGAAACCTGGCTTTATAGCCTGTCCCACAGAGGTGCACTGCCTTATCCATAACCTCAAGGACCTCAGTAATCCCTCAATGCAACAGTCTCCTGTACAGGGCAAAGCATTAGACCTAAAACCCAGCACCAAATAGTGAGATGGAGATAGAAACAAAATAAAATTCATTACGTAAAAGTGATAAGACAAGGAGAAATTTGTCACAAGGGGTAAATAGCTTGCTTAGTGTGACAAAGGAGGCAAAATAATTAGAAAAGCCACTAGTGCAATCTGACAGGGAGGATAATAAATGATTAAAATGAGAAAAAGCAGTGCAAGCCCACACACCACTTCTAGCCTCCTACTCTTTCCCAGCACCCAGTTTCTGACAGTTGACAGCAAAACTTGAGAAGAGCCTCTCCCAGCCTCCAGTCAAGAGCAGGAAGTGAAGGACCCTGAGCCTGCAGACAAATCACAGAGCACTCTCCTTTCATAATGGGGACTGCAAGTTTCTGTTCACTGCTTCACCATTCAAAAATGTGTAAACAAGTGATGGGAGGCATTATCTATTGCAATAGCTTTAAGCTTGGGGTTTATACCATCAATATCTTGGGAAGCAATGATCCTTGCCTGATTATTCATCTTTAAAACATTCAATTATTGGCCCTATGAACTGAGATTGAGCTGATTCTGGTCTTAGTCGCAAGCACATCCAGTGGCTCAGTCTTGCTGCATGCATCAAGACACGGGTTACAGTCTATACAAGAAAACAAACAGCTCATTTAATCTCATTGACGGCACTGCACACATAAAAGCGGTGCCTCCATGGCAAAGGTCATCTTCACAGGGGAAATTTATCCTCATAATCAGACAGTTCATCGACATGAGAGATAGTAGGAACTGCAGATGCTGGAGAATCCGAGACAACAAGGTGCAGGGCTGGATGAACACAGCAGGCCAAGCAGCATCATAGGAGCAGACATGCCTGGCTACACTCCCTCATTTGTCAGTCACGGCTCAGTGAGCAGCACACTCGTTTCCGAGTCAGAGGATCCCAAGATCAAATTCTGAGACTTACACAACCCAGGATGGCACTCTGGTGTAGCACTGAACCAATGCGCAACTGCTGATAGTACCACATAGGTGACATAGATATTAAACCCTATTTGCCCTCTCAGATGGACATAAAATACCTCATGGCATTACCTTACGCATAAGGAAGCTCACCCCACTATCCAGGCCAATCTTGATCCCTGAGCTATTGTTATAAAACACTGCCATATATTGCACATTCACTGTTCATCCTAATGTGACTGTTTACGGATGTTTCTTGTGTGCAAATTAGTTGCCGTGTTTTTGGCATTACAACAGTCAAAGGTACTCTGGTGGCTGTAAAGCGCTTTGAAGCATCCAGATGTTAAGAGCGCTTTACAAATGTAAATTTTTCTCTCTTCAACCTATTTTACTGGGATATTCATCCACGGACAACAGAGAGCAAAACAGCTGCTCCTTTACTTAGTACGCGCCCTGCACAGCCAACATTGGTAATCCCATGACAAATCTGTCCGATTCACTCCAGACAATCAACCAGGGACTGCTAACTTTACCTAAACCTATGGACTAACCAGTGGCTGAGAGAGCTGCATGTGGTGCACTGGTCACACCCGTACATTATGAAAAGGATCGTGTTATCCAATTACAGAGGGCAGTCTATGGGGTCTGGAACTGTTCACTAGGATTGAGAAGGGTGAACATGCTGCTGAGTATTTTCAGTTCAGATAAATTCAGGCCACATGTTGACTGAAAACAAAGACTGTTGAGTGGATGATTTACAGGGGTGTATGAGCGATACGACAAGACAGTTTTGGAACTGACAAGTTTAAATCTTAGAGCAGAGACTTGAGTGGATTGTATTTAAATTGCACTCTGTTCCCAGTGCTGGAGGACATGGACTACCATGAATAAACCTCCATCGAGAAGGCAGGTTAGAATTCTCCACCCACATTAAAACAGAGGATATGTGGAACAGATTTCTACTTAAACATGACAAGACATTGCATTAAATTTCTCATGTATTCATCAGAGAAATACTTGTTTAGTGCAGAATTGGAGATATGCAGAACACAGAGGCTGAGGTGAGCGAAGTGGGGGTGATCAACTATCTACTGGACACATTCCGTGCTGCAAAAATCACAATACATCAGAACATAACACGCCAATATGAAGGAGTTACTGAATCACTTGGATAGGTAGATGTTGATGGAAGCCGATATCAGGCCAGACCAGGGATCACAGCAGAGGTTGGTATCAACCCAAACTGGGAATCACAACGGAGATTGATATCAATACAAACCGGGATCATAGTGAAGACCAATAATCAGCCCAGACTGGGATCATAGTGGAGATCGATATCAGCCCAAATTGGGGATCATCACCGAGGCCAATAATCAGCCCAGACTGAGGACTGAAGTCAATGCTTCTTCATCTGCACTGCTCAATAAAACACCATGCTGCATTATTAGCCACTAAGAGCAGTTCTATAGAAGGAGTGAGATGATCTCAGGTACTCACGTGACAGACTCGCCAATGTGGTTGCTGGTGTTCAAGTCCTGGGACGTGTTTGACTCTGAAAGGGGGAAGAAACAGACTTTAATTTCCTTCTCTGCTTAAATTGCATTTAAACGTCTGCAGCGCCACCACTCACCTTAGCCGGTTTTTACCATCCCTGCTAGTGTCTTTCAGCCACACATAGTGAGGCAATGTTACTTGAATTTAGAGTGCACCATTAAAGGTGAGTATAGCCCTACTGATAAAAATCAGTATGTAGTTCTAAACCCTGTTAACTGTATCCTTTATAGGGAGTTGGACAGTCTGAGGGGATAGGAACCATCAAACAGGTGTCAGAAATGTCTATATTGCACATTAGAAAAATTGTGAAAGCCTTGGAGGGTGCACAGGAGATTGTATTATAAAGCAGAGGTTGACCCCCTCCCACCTCAAGAACTGAAACACCCCAAAGGGGAGCATCATGCCTTATAATCTGTAAAAGGAGTGTGAAAAGTGGTGTAACCTGCCTTTCAGCAACTTCTAGTGGTTAAATAAAATAAATCCATGACACTCACTTTAACATCAACAAGTAACTATTTATCTAACTCTAACAGTGAACAAAATAACTAAACTATTAACAAACCAAATAAATCCCTAACTACCAACAATTCCTGAATAAAGCAAGATTCTAATGGTATGCTGTTCCAATAAATACAAGTCCCACATATATAATTTGAAAACAGTTAGTCTCTTGAAAATAGCTAGGTTATGTTTCTTCCAGAAAGTTCTGTGCCTTCTGTCGATTCTTCTGTCAGGAATATTAACTAGTTGTGCCGTTGGTACCGTTGTTGTTTAGATGGTGCTTTCTCTAAGTCACAGAGGAGGCTGTGAGAGCCAGCGAATCTGTCGAGAGCAGAGGGCTGTTTGCTCTGGCAGATAGTAGCTAGCTTTAGGGTCCTTGTCCAACTGCGTCCTTCTTTTATACCCTTGATGACATATCAATATTTCTTACAATAGGATTAGTTCTATGTTGTCAACACCACCATACTTTAAATTTAATAGGTTTTTGGTATCTAAGTGCCTGGTTCAAATTGATTGGCTAAACTCAAAAAAAGCTTGTCTTGGTAAAAACTGCTGCTTGGCCTGCTAACTGTACGGCCTTTCGATATGAACATTTCAATTTGGGTGCTCTGTGTTCTTGCAAACTGCCGCTCACAGACATCCATTTTAAATCTCTAAGCATAGAAAAAGTATGTGATCTTTTAAAGGGACCATACAATGCTTTCCCCCTAGTATTTTACAAACACCAAATTCTAACTTCCTCCCTCCCAATCCACATGTACTCTACCCAACTTCGCAACAAGTTTCCAAACAATTCCAGGACTGAGGGAATTTCTGGAGACACTGAAGAACCTGGAGATATTCTTCTAACGGCATGAAGGTTAAAGGAGAAATAATTAAGGCTTTCTAGTAGTTAAGGGATCCATATTTATTTTTCTTTATTATTTTGTAGACATCGCTGGCAAGACCAGCATTTGTTCCCTGCCCCCAATTCTCTTTGAACTAAATGCCTTGCTTGGTCATTTTGGTGGGCAGTTAAGAGTAATCCAAAATATTGAGGGTTTGGAGTCATATGGATGTCAGTTTGGGTAAGGGCAGGCCTACCCAAAAGGATATTTGAGTTTTGTTTTACGGCAATTAATAATAGTTTCATGGTAACCCTCAGACTAGCTCGCAATTCCAGAATTATCAATTCCAGCTAAGTTCCCTTCACAGCCTACACCCAGTAACCAGAATGCACAGATTAAATATATTTGGCAAAAGAATCAGAGGGACAATGATGATCATGTTTTTGTTGAAGCAGAATCAATACTGACTTTCCAAAACAAAAAATACTTGACAATGAAAAATTTACACTGTTCCATGGAAAAGGAGAATGGAATGAATGGGATCACAGTTTCATTGGCCCTTTCATTGTTAGATGCTAGGGTGGTATACTGGTAATGTCAGTGCATAGTAAGCCAGCAGTCCGGTTTAATGCCTTGGAGAAACAGGTTCAAATTGCAGTATGGCAATAGGCAGAATTAAAACTCAATTATTAAAACAATGCAAGCAGCCAACACAGTCATGGTGGGCTGAACAGCCTCCTTCTATGCACCATGATTCTATCCAAAAGAAACCTTAAACCCCTCCGATCCTATGGCAGCCTAACAAACCTGCATTAGATTTTTCTACCTCCTGTCAGAAATCATTTCATCCCTTTCTGACTGCAAAATGGTTGCTTTCCTTCATATAGAAGCAAGGGTGACAAGAATTTGTTTCGTCCCACCTCAGTCGCCAACTTGACATTACCTTGTGCTGATGTGGTGATAAATCTCATGAAATGCCCCTAACAATAGGCTGTGACACCAGTGAGGAGTGTGAATGACAGACACCTTTAAGGGTCAGCTGCATTCAGCCCAAGTCTGAAGTTCAGGCTGTCTTCCTTCCTCCCATGTTCCTTACTGTGATCCCAGCCAGGGTAAGCTAACTCAGGGCAGGATCTGGAACCTAGTTAACCGGAAGCCAGGCAAGGTAGCTACCCAACACACCACTGGGCAAGCTGCTTATTAAGCTCAGATGCCAATGAACTGTGCAAAATTAGAAGGGATAATTGTCAAGGGACATGAATCATCTATAAGAATCCGAGGCAGCCATTAGCAATTTAATTTCAAAACTGCATTAAGTCATGGAATTACGCCAATGTGACTACATGTCCCAAGATTTCTTAGAAATAGATTTTATTTCAACATTCTAAGCAATGTACACATTGTTAATTCACACAGTGTACATGGGGTGTGATACAATAATAATTCACCGGGATTAACCCGCTAAATATCAGCAGTGGTTGATAAAGGACCCTCAGGAATTATGCAGCAAGAGTTATTGTATACCACGTTCCTTCCCGTGGATTGCCACCTTGCTGTAGAGGACAGGCCCTTGATCCCAAGAACAATGCCGTCTAAGGTTTTCAACTCCTGGCAGGGCCACCCGTGACCGTAAGGTTGGAAGGGAGGAATCAGAGAAAGCAAGTCCTCAGTGGTGATCCAGGCTAAAGGTACTCATGTGATATCAATGACTGCGACACTGGACGAGGACTGCAGCAGTGGGGAGGTCCCCAGTCATCAAGATTTCCTTGCCCTGGAAACTGGGCTTGCCTACTGTCAAGGACCACGTGTCCTATGTGCTATAACATTCCTGCTTAAAAGATGTCCTGTACAAGGTGTCTAGCTACAGGAATCCAAATCAACTCCGCTGGGCAGGCTACATGCTTGGAATCAGCGCTGCAACTGCCAAAGCAAATTTCCTTCGCCCAGCTCAAGGCTTGGATGAGAGGAGGATAAAGGAAATGTAACAAAGATTCCTTGAAGGATTCTCTCAAGAAACGCAACATAGATGTCAACACGTGGGAGACCATCGTTCAGAAGAAACCTACTTGGAGGAAATTCCAGCATGAAGATAGATTAGATGGGCAAATAGATTTATTGTTGCCACATGTACCGAGATACAGTAAAAGTGTATTTTTGCATGCTGTACAAGAATATCATACCATACAAAGTGTGTTAGGGTAGCAGAACAGAGTGCAGAATAGCGTTATAGCTGCAGAGAAAGAAATCAGAATTAATATTTGAGAGGGCCATTCAAAACTCTGATGACAGTAGGGGAAAAAGCTGTTCTTGAATCTGTTAGTATGTGCATTCAAACTTTTATGTCTTCTGCCTGGCAGAAGAGTGGGGAAGAGAGTATAACTGGGGTTGGAGGGGTCTTTGATTCTGTTGGTTGCTTCCCGAGGCAGTGGGATGCATAGATGGAGTCAATGGATAGCAGGCTGGTTTGTGAGATGGACTGAGCTGTGTTCACAAATCTGTGGTTTCTTGGGGGTCTTGTGAAGATTAGTTGCCATACCATGCTATGATGCATCCAGCCAGGATGCTTTCTGTCATGCATCTATAAAAATTGGTAATGGTCTTTGCCTGAGCCTCCTTAGCGTTGTTGTGCTTTCTTGACCATTGCATCAATACGGATGGAGCAGGACAGACTGTTGGCGATCATCACTCCCAGGAACTTGACACTCTTGACCCTATTCTTCGAGAACACCCGTTGGCAAGAAGTATGGAGAAAGGAATGTCGACGATCTCAACACCAAGAACCAATTCCACCCTCCGAAAACTCCTGCCAAATGCATGGTCAGAGACGTAGCTTTAGGCTCAGACTCAGCAACTATGCAAAGGCCCACAGAACCCATGACCAGTGACACGAAATTCCTGAGATGGATAGTCATACTGGTTAGCAAGTGGTTGTCATTGATGACACCCAGCCCCAATACCCAAACACACCCAAGTTCACTACCCTACACTGGCTCCCAATCTGGTGTCTGATTGATTTTATAACATTCTCATCCCAGTTTTAAAATTCTCTCCATGGCCTTGCCATTCCCATTGCTGTAAGCTCCTCCAGCTAAACAATCTCTGGAATATCAAATATTTTGCAATTCTGGACTCAAATTCCTGATATCCATTGATTCAGCAAAAGGTGCCAGACCACAAACTCAAAATTCCCATCTCCCCTGCCTCCTTTAAGACCTACCTGCAAACCTTTTCGCGTGTCCTGGTATCTCTGTGTCTTATGACAAATTTTGTTTGATAATATGCCGACAAAGGACTGCGGAATATTTCACAGCAAGAAGGCAAATAAATAAATTCAAGTTGGTGTTGTGGGGTTGAGGCAAATCATCAGTGGCAAAGAAAAGAAGAAAATTAACTCTATCTAACCCTTTCTTGTATCTGTCCTGGGAGAATCTGGGAGCAGTATAGAGGGAGCTTCACCCTGAATCGAACCCTGTGCTTCCCTATCCTGGGAATGTCTGATGGGGACAGGGTAGAGAGAGTTTTACTCTGTATCTAACCCCATGCTGTCCATGTCCTGACAGCATTTGATTGGGTCAGTGTAGAGGAAAGATTTACCTTCAGTTTTAACGAGTGAATAGAGCTTTACTTTGTTTGAAGAAGCAGAGGGAACCTTACTCTGTATCAAGCCCCT